ATGTCTCTTCAGTGATGCTTATACCGAAACGTTGGAAATCCACGCAGTAATGTTAAGGCTTCCCGAAGCTTTAAATGCGTTCAAAACATAACACTGCATTGCAAGGTCGATTTTTATTTTTATTTGTAAGTTATGTACTCAAGTACGGCCAATTTATATGGAGAGTTCTCTAGGCTATATATAAACGTATTTGTTACGATATCATATGACCTCGTTGATCACGTGACGGTCATTTCTACTTTTTTTGAAGTGTTTCACATACATCGCTTCGGCGCAGCTGATTAACACAAATATTATTAATTTTTTGGCACATAAATAAACTCGTCGCATCCTTGTGAACCCGAATTGTGCTTGGGAAAAGTTATACTATTACTCTGGTGCATTTTACAATAAGTTCAACTTACCGACAAATTTGAGGATATTTTCCACTCAATATCGTCAACTGTATTAAAACAAAGCCATCACACATTTTTCTCAAGCAAGATTCAGTTAGAGGGGAAACTCCTCTAACAGATTTTCACAAAAGATCTCAAATAAATCCTCAGTATAATCACCTGCGACAAGCTCTTTATACACATATTATAAATTCAACTTCTATCCACGGGTATAAAAAAGGGTACATGTCAAACGTATGTTTTCGTATATACATGTGTATTTTGAACACGCAGACTTTTAAACAAGACTAATAAAGCAAAGTTATCTAAAATATTCGGATAAATAGGATTTTAAAAAAGATTAAAACAAGTTTATTTTATACTACCTTTCTGACACTTCATATGCAGATTGAAATAAGGTGTAAAATTTATGACACTTTCCCTATCATAACAACTCAAGTTTGCAGTGACTTGACGTCATTTTCAATTATGACGTCATACATATGTAGTTCAGAGAAGTGAAGGCACAGAGTACAGTGCGATATTCTCTGGGAAGCCTTAACGTACCTGCGCAAAATATTTAAATATAAAAGACTTGGAGAGCTTGATAAAGATGCCAAAGACTGGAGCCAAATAGGTCGAAGGATCAGAGCTATGCATGAGGGAGAAAATCCTTAATTTTGAAATAAAATTCTAAATTTTACCACAGCAAATAAATGTATATCATATTTTCAAGCTAGAACCGAAGTACTTAGCTACTGGGCTGTAGAGACCGTTGGGGACTAACAGTCCACCAGATTCGAGTCAAGCAAGATGAGTTTGATCTACCCTACATATACTGGATTCCTAAACTTCATAAAAATCCTTACAAACAGAGATCATTGCCGGGTCCAGCAAATGCTCTATCAAGCCCCTAAAATCTTAAGTGATGTAAAGGAGAAACTTCAAATCTAGATTTAGATATATCTACGACGAACTATCAATTAATATTATACTTTCTTGTAAATTAGTTGAATCTGATTCGTCAAGGAACATTTGTAAAAAAAAAAAAAAAAAACACTATTACCCGCTGAATGATGAAGCCACGCCCTCCAGCGTAGCAACAGTCAACTTTGCTTGACGACGGGTGATATTCCAGAAAATAATGACTGCGCAGAATTTATGCGCGCACGGTTCACTGTTATATGTATTTGTATAAAACATTCAGTATAATATAATAAATATTGTATGTTGTTGAGGCTGCGCCTCGGTTGACAATGGTTTTCTTGGGGTGAAAATTTTTAATGCTATGCTCAACTACATGCAATATTTATATAATAGTTACTTCCATCTATATGTCAAATCGATCTATCCCAGTGAACTTGAAATAAAAGACACCAAAGAGTCTGCCACATCTGTTTCATATCTGGGTGTCTTACTGACTATAGACGAGAAAGGCAAACTTACAAATAAATTGTACCAAAAACGAGATGACTTCAGCTTTTCCATCTTAAACTTTCCTTATTTATGTAGTAATATCCCACTATCACCTGCATCTGGTGTTTATATCTCCCAACTTATTCGATACTCACGAGCATGCTCCGAGTACGATCAATTTTCAAATCGAGGGAGGCTACTGACAGATAAGTTGATGTTACACGGATTTCAACAACCTCGTTTAAAATCAGCATTTCGTAAATTCTATGGTCGTTATAATGACCTTGTTAGAAAATATAATCTGTCATTGGGTCGTATGTTGGCTGATGTTTTTTATACCAATTGTTAGGCCTTTGTTTTTATACTGAATTTGACTACGGAATGTTCCGTCTTCCTGATCTACACATAGTCCTCACGGCGGGTTTGACCGGTCAACAGGGGATGCTTACTCCTCCTAGGCACCTGATCCCACCTCTGGAATTTCCACAGCCCGTGTTTTATGCCCTGCTCACAAATTTGTATCGATTATAGATTTTATGAGATCGATCACTGTTCGTTATCTTCACCTTGTCATTTACTAGGACAACCCTTGAAGTCCAAGGACACTTAGAAGGTTCAATAACTTTGTTTTCTAACATTTCCTTGACTTGTTTATCTACTTCTGTATGTGTTCTGGAAGTCCCCCAGGAACTTCTTTGATAGGCTGTATTTATGCTATGTTTGGTCATATCAGTTCGTCCCACATCTATATCCGATTTTGTAAAAATGTGTGCGTATTTACACAAAAGCTGCCCCCTCCCCTTCTGCTCGCTTTTTACTGTGATTTGTTACCGTTTCCTTCAACATTGATTCCAAGTGTTCAGGCAAAGTCTCACTGGATAATGAGTCATTTATTCCACCCTCGAGTACTAGTATCTCTTCAACCGGTGCCAGCCAGTACAACTGTGGTGCCTGAATGTATTTCTTTCAGTTGGGTTAAGCAAACCTATTGGAAACAGTTATTTCTTTCTATGTAGTTCTTCCTACCAATCCTATCAGAATTTAATTACTAACAAAGTGGCCTCCAAATTCTGTCCCTAATTCTTCGCTTTCTGAACCATGTACCTTCCCAGTGGTTAATATTTCGCTCTATGAAGAAAGAGACAGTGTTTCTGAAATAACGATTCTGAAACACCCTATAGCCTACCTTCAAATTACAAATAATGAGTCTCGTCTCCCAGCATAAGGGTCTTATCGTGTAGGCTGATTATACCTTGGTTTTTCTGCAAGCAGTCGAGCCCAAACACCACATCTACATTAATATCCGCAACCAAAGATGTGGTAGATGAATTACTTCCAAAATTTGAACTTTATAAGTGACAACCCAAAAACATTCAAAGGAGTTTCCGTAGCTGACAAGATGTTCAAATCCGTTTCAGCCAACACTATCTTCCTATTATGGTTTATGACCTTAAATACTTTTTGTGATAGAAGAGTAATGGTTGCTCCTGTACCTACAAAGGTTGTTTGAAGAGTTCACGGACTATATCAATCTCTGTTATAGTACTTTCAAGAAATCTAAAATGAGCACATTATCATAATTAGTAAAAATATTTGTTTTACTGATGTGTGAAGCTTCATTCCATGTGATTTAATAGAAATCATATTACTTAATAAAATCATCATGTTTTGTAACCATGGAGCATACTCAACATCAGTGTAATGTCAAAATCATAGCATCATGAGGTTCTCGAAAAATACTCTCCCTATATCTTTAACACAATCAGGCCCAGTACACAATTATTAAAACACTTCTCTATACCTTGAAATTTATGTTGCTTACAATTGTTCCAGAAGCATAATTTTGTGTGTCAGTTTTTATTTTATACCCATCTCACTCCCATTCACATTGGCATTTTTTTTTGTCTTTGAAGAACATTTTTTGTACATAGATGAAGTATTCTTGTTTTACTTATCTATTCTTTACTCTACCAGACTATAAAAAGCTAAGAAAGTATTTTTTATTATACTAGTAGATTATAAAAATTCTTTCATATTTCTCTTTTTTAATTGGCCTTTCAATTACATTATTTACAGAGATTATCATAAGTGAATAGCAGTGGGGAGTAACTTCTCTCATTAGAATACAAATAGAGCCCTGCCCAGCCCCCGATACTTGACCAAGTGGTCCAGAATTTCAAAAAATATTTCATTTTCACAATATAATCAATAGAGACCATCCTAACACAGGAGCCCCTGACCCAATGGCCAAGGAAATTCCAAACTTTGGAGGAGGCACCCTTGCACATAATAACCATGCACTTAGTATGTTTGCTAAATACTTAGGAGCAGAGAAAAAAGATTTTCAAAGATGTAATGATTTTCACTGTACAGTAAAACATGCTTATAGCAAACATGCTTATAATGAATTGACACTTACAGTGAAATGATTTTTAAAGATAGCACTGATTTTGATGGCTTTAGCCCCAACCCTCAGGTACCAAAGGGGCTGGGACCATGAAATGTAAAATTATTTTACCCCTTCACCCATTGATGCAATATGCCAAAATTGGTTGAAATTGGTTCAGTGGTTCAAGAAAAGAGGCTGAAAATGTTCAAAACTTCACGAATGATGATGGACAAAAACAGATAGCAATGGGTTTGAATGTACACAATAGGATGCTTTACTTTTTATTCAATCTATTAGGGCTCTCCTTAGTATTCTTTAAAGGGAGTTTTTAGTAGATTTTGTCCCCAAATATTCCAAATGAATTTCACATTTTCTACTTCTGTTCTTGGAAAGATTTAAAACAATTCCAAAATATTCTGATATTAATTTGATCCCCTATTGTGACCCTATCTTAGCACTGAGGGCAATAATTTGGTTGAATCTTACTTTACAAAACTGCATTTCTTGTACATTAATATGAATAATTGTAGCCCAATCATTAATGAGAATATACACTTTTAAAATTATCTTCCTTCACATTAACATCTGCTTGTTAAACTTTGACTCTCTATCTCTTGAGCCCCAACCCTTAGCTAGAGGTCTCGATTTCAACAAATTTGAATCTCCAGTACATGAGGATGCCTGTATATCAAAATAAGTAATTGCTGTTCTGGTTAGAAAGATTTTCAAGAGACTTTTCTTCTATGCATGTATGAGTAAAAATTAAACATTATTTTTTCCTTTCAACTTTTAGTCATAATTCACATCATAATTAAAAGGAGTGTATGCTAATTACATCCTTTATTGAAATAAAATTCTCTCAATTAAAATTAATAATAATAATAAAAATTTAAATAGTAACATTTTCAACATGTCCTTACAACTTGTACTGGTAACATAACAAGGCAGACATTTATTAATATCACATTTCATTATGAAGAATTTCCCAGCCTCTGGTGAGATCGATCTCCAACGGGGAACAATTCAGATAAGTTCCAAATGAGAAGCAGTTTCCACCTCCACCAATCACCAGGATTCTGTTGTTACCAAGGTAACAGCTAGTGTGTTTGTGTAACATAAGGAGCTGATTTCCATACTCTCTCTGAAATCATAAAATTAATTTTTTGTTATGATTTTGAAAATCATCTACATGTATGTGAATAAGCCTCTTTCTCCCTAAAAGTAAAATTCTCAATATTGATCAAACTTGAAATAAACATTTTCTTATTTTTTTCTTTGAGAGGGTCATTTTGACCCAGTCTAATAGTTTATTGTCAGTTGAGACAATGCTATAAGGACTCAGCTATTATATTGGGCTCACAGTGTAAAAGATTTTACTCAGACTGAAAAAAGTTTACAAACTGACAGATGATTGAATGGGAGAGCCCGTATCATAATACTGTCCATCAAAAGACAGGTAACTATATAAAACACTTACAGGGATTTCAAACTCTGTTGCTTTCTTCTTCTCAATATCAATAAAGGCCACGCCTGGTACCGAGTGATTGACATTGACTCCTCCCACAAGTATCAGGTGATCATTAATCACATGGGCCGTATGGGAGTACCTAAAAATAAAACATTGATATACTGACACTGTTAGACAGTCACTAAAAGTGAAATTAATGTGTTTTTTTTACACTTCTTAACCCAAAATACTGTTTTATGTCAAAATTCTGCTGCAAAACTATTTCCGCAGAATAAAACTGTGTGCTTTATCATGTTTCATCATGTGGCAATCAAGATTTATAAAATTTGTAAACATTTCATGTGCTTAAAGCAAAAGGTTCAAAACAATGTGCAAAATTTCTTTTTTCTTTTCATAACTTTTCACATCCATGTTTTGTTGAGAATTTTAAAAGCTGAAATATATTTCAAAACTTAAGCTAATACATGCTTTCATATATTAATACTGCACCATTTCTTATTATATTGATGCATTTTTTTATTTGTATACAAACAATTACATACACTGCACATTTTCTAATACAGTGTAATAGTTAAACAAATTTTCCTTAATATTTAAATTTTCTATGAAGTAAATTTCTTTCTTCAAAGCTGCCTCTTTTCATTTCCTTCAGCTTAATCTCAATCTCAGCTTAATCTCAATCTCAGCTTAATCTCAATCTCAGCTCAATCTCAATCTCAGCTTAATCTCACCTGGACAGGAGATTTCCTTGTAGCTGTAACTGTGTGTACTGTCTAGTCTGGATACTGAAGGTATGGACCGAGTCCAAAGGCTGAAGTGTCTGGTCCACACCCCCTGCTATGATCACCTGATCTCTCCACAGAGAGGCAGTATGGGACTGTCTCTTTCCTGGACTTGTGTCCTCTATCTGTGCAAAAAAAGGAAAAAAACAACATAGTCTGTAAGACTATAGCAAAAGAGCTCATAAAAAAATAGAAAACTAACTTACTTTTGTCCAGGTAAAAGAATCTGTGTCCATCAGGTAACTATCGTCCAGGGCCAGTTCTTTGTCTGTCCTTCCTCCATGCAAGTACAGAAGGTCATGATCTAAAAAAAAAATTGAGTGAGAATACAAAGGTGGAAAATTAATAATATGCACAACGGTGGTATATTTAGAGAAATACCTGATTCAATTAGAAAATTATCGATATAGAACCTTTCTTAGTATGATTAAATCCAACGAGTTGTGTGTTTTCTATCCCCTTACTTAGGCCAGGGGATAGAAAGCATACAATGAGTTGGATAAAAAACATATTCAACCATAAACCATGGAAGATTCTTTTTTTTCAAGTTTTACATATAACTGTAACAGGTTTTACACTGTTTTACAAATGAATTAACTTTAACTTCAACACTTTCACACAAAAACTGTTGTGACATCACAACTCATTCAACTGAAGAAAATGAAAACAATATCATATGACCCATATCCACTGTATAAAGGATTAAACATATGATAATAAGAAATATTGTCAAGTTTTATAAAAAAAAAACCATTTATTGAGTTCAGCATGTGTTCAGTAAAATACACTTATAAAGAAGTGCCAGGGACATGCATTTTTGCTTCGGTATAAGCCTAATTCATTATATCCAATAAGTTTAGAATATATTTTAAAGTCATGGGGAATGAAGTCACTTTGCTATAAGCATCAATTCGTTATAAGCGTGTTCCCTATATGTGTGTTTTACTGTATAACTGCAACATTGAAAATGGAAGATGGAAACAATCTGTACCTTCCTGCTTGATCAGCACAGCAGCATGCCTCCAGCGGGGAGAGGGTGTGTCCCCACTAGTTATCACTTCCTGTATTTGGACCCCTGAGTATTGTCTTATTTTCTCCTCCTCAACAGATTTATTAGGAGTACAAATATTTTTATCCTCATCACATTCACAATTTGAATTTTTCTCCATCACTATATTTCCTTTAATTTTATCAGGTCTAACATATTCTGAATTCAACATATCACTTTGACAATTCATTTCAGGTCTTTCACCTTCCTCCTCATCATTATTTTCTAACACATTCTCTTTTCTGGTTTGTCTTTCACAATTGTTGCCCTGTAATTCAGGTCTATCATGCACTGATGAACATGTGTCTTTTATTCCTTCTATTTGCTTCATTATTAAGCCTGCTTCATAACTTTGCCTACACATCTCAGAATGATTTCCCTCCACTAGAACATATTCCTCAGGACACGTATTTTCTTTCCGATCACACACAGCCTCAGTGGTGTTTCCACACTTTGTACACAGTACAGTCGACCTTGTTTGACCTTCAGTAATGGGGGTGAACTCAATCTTCAAAACTTGGTTACAGAGACGAACTGGAGACATTCTACCACCCACCAAAATAACAGATCCATCCCTCAGTAAGATACTCTGATCATGCATTCTGCTAACTGAAATATTTTTTTTAAATTATTTGCAGTTGTGTACAAACATTAATACATATACTTTGTACATTAGTTCTTTATATGAAGAACATGTACTGACCTTGAACTTCCCTTGGGTTGACCTTGACTGGTACTACGTAGGACTGAGATGTCCTGATATTGGTGACAGTCAGATCCAGAATCCTGCAGTGTTTACCTCTCTCCTCCCCAAATCCCCCAAAACTGACCAATGAGTGTCCATCTCCTAGCAACAGGCTGCTGTGTCCAAACCTCCATATACTGTTAGAGGTATCCCCTCCCTCCACAGTGATGCAGTCTCTGATTCCTGGGTTATGTGAAGTCTGGATGTCTGTAAAACAGAATCATACAAGTACAGTGAAAACTGTCTAATCCGACACCTATGTAATCCATATCACTATGATGTCAACAAATATTTTCATTCCCATTTCACTATTCTCCATGTTCTTTACACTGTATAATCTGACATCCGGTCTATTCTGACAAAAAAATTGTACACAGTACAGTCAGATTAGACAGGTTTCACTATACCAATATGCTGAGTGTTATATGCTTGAGGAAATTAAATGAAGTAATGCATTTCTAGATGTAGTTATGCTAAGCTGAAATAAAAAAAAATCTTGAGAGATATTTGCTATCACTATCAATAACTGTGTAATATTATACGTAGTTATCCAGGTCCAATCAAGCTGTACAGCATTTACTCCGGGTTTTATTCCAAACACCTGAGAGCCGAAGGGTGTATAGAATACAACCCAGGATAAAATCCCGTACAGCTTGATTGGACTTGGATAAAAAATTTATTTCCTATGATAATGTAATCAATGTAACCAAATAAATTCTTTGTAAAATCAAGTCCAGTCAATGGTATTTCTACCATCAATTTGATTTACTATTTACTATGTGGTGCAATGCATGGTGATGTCATGTAATTTGCTTTATGTGATAGAGAAAGTAAGCATTGTGACATTATGTTGTTTACCCCTGGCTCGAGCCAGGTGTATGGAATTTACACCCGTCTTGCTAACCAATCAGATCTCGAGTTACAAGCTAGATAGGAAATAAATGTATTTGCCAACTGAAACAAATTACAGAGCATATACAGTGGCGCCGCGTTTATCCGGACGCCATTTATCCGGACGCTTCACCATCCGGACGATATTTTTGGGGAACCGATTTTTTCCACGTTATTTTGTCTCATTAATCCGGAAATTCGCGTTCTGTATCCGGACGGTCAATTTCTACTACAAAACATAACAGTTCATTGAAAATTGACTCGTTTATCCGGACGGTAATTTTTCAAGAAACGACATTTTCACACTTATCTTGCATTCGTGTTAATTGTTGTAAAAACATTGGCCATGCAGTCAGTTTGAAGGCGGTTACCTGTGACCTACAAACAAAAGCGTCTATAATTAGCATGTGTTTACCCCAATTCAATCACACTTTTACATGTATCTTTATTATGAAGGTCAAAGAATTTAGCTGACACTGTGCATTAATTAAATAATAATCCGTTCAAAATCATATTGCTAACCGTATATACATCGGTAAATTCAAGAGAATTTTGGAGTTGTAAATAAAATGAACAATAAATAACGAGCGATTTCGTAATGCTCTTTATCATGTCGATTGCGTTAATTAGTTTAAAATACGATGTTCCATTTCTAAAAAACATAAATGTATTTGAAACGCTTTTTTCCCAACAAGACAGTATAGAAAGGTACATAACTGAAGAAATATTTCTATTTAATGTACTACCGTTTACAAACGTCCATGACATAAAAAACTGGCGTTACGTACAGAAGTTGATTACGTTTTTCAAGGTATTTTTTAATGATCGAAATTCAAACTTAGCGACTGTAGTAAAAAATAATATTGATAATCATGAAGGTGGCTTGTGTTTACGAATGTTTTTAATACTCTGTTTGAATTAGTTTGCAGTGTTCAGTTAATTTTATAGTAACCCTGTGTAATGAATATACGGGGTATATACGGGGTTAGTTTATATTCGAACATTTTCAATGATGATGCTGAACAGTTCTGTCATATCATATGAGCTTCAATAATTAAAATCTATGGCAAAATAAAACAACAGTATAGATCAAAATTTGCTCAACCCATGAAGTCACAAGCCAAAGAGAAGGCGAATTAAAAAAGGAGGTCTCAGCATAAAATTGCCCATCCAATTTTTTTACTCTGTAAATTACATTTTAATATATTTTTTCATTAATCAATTACTGCTTTTAAAACAAATAACCAAAATATAATTTAAAAGTTTTTTTTCTTTGCTGTCACATTTGAAACAAGAATGTGCATATATACATGCTTAGAGAGTGCTTTTTGAGATGTGATTCAATTATCCGGACGATTCATTTATCCGGACGATTTCGTTGGGGACAGAGGCGTCCGGATAAACGAGACACCACTGTATATACTGTACACAGAGAAGATTTTCCTCTCAGTTTTATTTTCACTCATTTCACCTTCATCGGTGAGTGAATTTGAATTGGAGTAAATTCAAAGACAGAGTTATCTCTCTTTTAACACAACTGTCTCTAGGCAAATCTAAAATGGGGCAAAATCATTAAAAAGTTTGATTGGGTGAAAATATCTTGGGACAAAAATAATCCTGCATACAGTATGTAAATGTGAAAGCAAGTAAATGTACAAGCTAGTATTCACATATGCATTGCAAGTAATTCAATTCTAAGTCTCCAACAGGTTGACAAAGTCTGTTTTCATTTTACCATTGTTGCAATTCAAAATATTTTTAAGAAAAATAAAATATGTGAAAAAAAGGCAAATTATCTTATCCAAAAGTTTAACTTTTTAAATTATTACCAGACAAGAGAGAAGCGAAGCTGTCTGTGTTGGCGGCACTGACTATCATGTAGTGGTTATACACTTACCAGACAAGAGAGTGGGGAAGCTGTCTGTGTTGGTGGTGCTGACTGTCATGTAGTGGTTACACTTACCAGACAAGAGAGTGGGGAAGCTGTCCGTGTTGGCGGCGCTGACTATCATGTAGTGGTTACACTTAAGGTGCCATTCCTCGTACTCATCAAACGGCTCCAGTGACTCCACACGCTGCTGTTCACTGGGTGGCACCAACTCTCTATAAAAATGGTTCATGTCAGCTGCCTCACTCCGACTCCAACCCTGGAGAGGTATAAAAACTAGTGGCTGAATGAGTGAGATATGGTTTTTTCCTCCATTTTTTTTTTCTAGTTGCACTTGTTGTTTTTTTTTTTCAATTACACAAAATGAAATATATCTTTCACAAAGCTATTGAGAATTTTAATTTGATCCAATCATATGAAATATCAAAATAGAAAACTAAATCTTCAGTCTCCATAGGATTGTAAAATACAATTACAGCCCTTTTGAATCTCTTCCTTTTTCGTTCTATATGTACAGTTATTCCACACCTCAATCTTTGTGAATTTTAATAAGTATCATAGAACTTCTCCAAAACATTCTATAGACTCTATCAGAGCCACACTTTTCAACATCACTGCATTGCCAGCAATCACTCTATCAAAACTCCTGCATCATCACTCCACTTTCACTCCTCCATTAGCATTTATAATCACCTCTCCACTACCACCACAAAGTGGACAATATCTTAATTCTACTACAATCTTAGAACCATTCCTTACCAGATTCAGAAAGCGATCCCTCTGGGCTTGAAGTGTGGGGAAGGCATTGATGCATTTCAGTGGTGAGCCAATCAACTGAAAGTGGCTCTGCCTGAAAAAAATGAGAGATTTCTGGTAATTTTTTTTTTATAAAAAACAGGGACCACTTAGAATTAGTTAAAACATTTTGTATCACACCTGTACTTGGACTGTTTTTATAGACACCTAAATCTGCATTTGATGATCTATTTGTTTAAATAAGTACCTGAACATATTGCAGATGTGTCTAACTTACATGTACTATACATGGATACTTGTTCCAATGATAATACTGCCTCATCAGCTTAATCAACAGAAAGAAAGGGAAAGTCTACCTCTGTGTATATAAGTATCAATGTTTGTTAGACTATATTGAACTTTATCTAGATACTTTTTGAACTGATATCTATTTCCGATCAAGACCACTGAACATATCAATTTGTTTCTTGAACCAAAGTTACAGGCAGCGAATTAATTTTTCAATGTTTCCATACTTACATGAACTTTCCAAAAGCATCATTTGGGTTTATCTGAAAAGCAAGCAAGATGGATGTTTCATATTTTAGAATCAACAGTCACCAATTAAAAAAAAACAAAAACAAAAAAATAGGTTTACAACATTTTGAATAAAGTTACTTCTTATTTTTGCCCAATACTGAAAACAAACATTTAAAAAAAATCATTGAAATTGTCTTTTTCCCTCTCTAAAATGTATGCTGTCTTTACCTTGCTTCCAAATAAACATAGGTAATCACAGATTACGAAGCTCACCTCGACGAAGGTTATCTATAAGTAAGGCAAATCTCACATCATATTTTTTCTAGTTAGTGTTCATCCAAAGATCAATATCCATACAAGTTTGGTTTTAAAAGGACTTATACAGTGCAGGGAACTAATTTTGTTACATAAACCAGCATCAGCATAAGCATTAGTAGCATCAGGATCGAGCTAGCATCAGCATCAGCATTTAAAAAACAGCATTACCAGGATCAGCATCAGCAAGCAAAGGATAAAACCAGCATTGACCTACATAAAATCAGCATTATCCTACTAGCATCAGAAAATCAATGAGTTTTAATTCAGTAAAAAAATTAAAAAAGAAAGAAAGAATATTGGTTAAAGTATTCACATTATTGATACATAGTGAGATGTTATGATCAGATAATTGTAAAAGGCACTTTTATTGCTTTAAACGGCAATGCTGAAATTCATTATCTACTTCCGGTAGCATGATGCTACTTCCGGTAGCATTGACCTAATTATAAAACAGCATCAGGATAAGGATTACTAGCATTAAATCAGCAAGCAAAGGAAGCATTCAAATCAGCAAGCAAAGGAAGCATTCAAATCAGCATCGATGCTGTAACAAAATTAGTTTCCTGCACTGTAGTTACTTGGAAAGTAATCTGCACAGAGACCTGCTCAAAAAAACTTTTAACCTGTTTACTAAGGCCAAATAAAAAAATATGTGTGGTTCCGGTTACCCGACCTTCCCTATTTTATACCCCCGACGCTAAACTTTTTTTTTGGCAATTTTCATATTTTTCCCAGAATTTTCCCCGATTTCCATCAATGGCTCTGGTTTAAGTTTTAGTTTCAGCAATAACGGCCTCCTTGCAAAACATAGTCCTAGTGTTTAATAGTGTTAAATCCAAAGCAAGCTAGCATGTAGGTGTCCCCTACCAATATTGACTAGTATATTATCACACCACATCTAAATGCCATTCACAAAGCAGTGATAGGTATTATTTAGAAAAATTATGAAAATCATTTTGTTTAAAAAAAAAAAAAAAAAAAATTCCCTACCTACCTACGCTAATTTTTTTGGAAGTGTAACCAGAACCACACATATTTTTTTGTTTGGCCTAATCAAGAAAATTTTGGTCAGTTCCAACATCCAAAGCAAGTCTGGAAGTTTTCATTCTTAGATGCACCATCCATGCAAGTTTAATCATAACATGCCATAATATTATATAGCTACTCCAAAAACATTACCCTGGTCACTCATCAGGAAAATGTAGGTCAAATTCAGAATCTAAAACAAGTCTGAAAGTGTCCATCCTAAGGTACATCATCCATGCTAATTTGATTAAAATATGGCTAAAATTCACTCACCTGGAAAATCTAGGTCAGATTCAGCATCCGAAGCAAGTGTGGTAGTGTCCATCCCTATATGCATCATCCATGTACATGTAAGTTTGGTCCAGGTAGGGCTAATAGTTACTTGGGAATGAACCTGCTCCAAAAACTATAATCTGGTCACTCATCTGGAAAATCTAGGTCAGATCCAGCATCTGAAGCAAGTGTGGTAGTGTCCATCCCTAGATGCATCATCCATGTAAGTTTGGTCCAGGTAGGGCTTATAGTTACTTAGGAATAGACCTGCTCCAAAAACTTTAACCTGATCACTCATCTGGAAAACCTAGGTCAGATCCAGCATCTGAGGCAAGTGTGGTAGTGTCCATCTCTAAATGCATCATCCATGCAAGTTTGGTCCAGGTAGGGATTATAGTTACTTGGGAATGGAACTGCTCCAAAAACTTTAACCTGGTCACTCATCTGGAAAATCTAGGTCAGATCCAGCATCCGAAGCAAGTGTGGTAGTGTCCATCCCTATATGCATCATCCATGCAAGTTTGGTCCAGGTAGGGCTTATAGTACTTGGGAATGGACTTGCTCCTAAAACTTTAACCGGGATGCCGACGTCAACGCCGGGGGTATAGCATAAGCACATCTCAACTTCGTCGAGGTGAGCTAGAAATTACTCATATGTCAGATTTTACATTTATTTTATGCACTGCAGATGCAATTTACTGCATCATTCATTATGTTCACAAACTAGTGTCTGGCTTTTTTTCCACACAGACGTTAATTTCTTTACCTGTTCATACAAAATAAAAACAGCCTCAGAAAATGTTTCTCCTGCCCATTTCACTACAGCAGAAGAACTGCAAAGTAATAATTTGATGTTTTAACTATCTGAGAAAACCATAACCATAATGATTTTACATAGGATCTCATCAATAAAAAGTTTTGAGGAAATTCTAGCAGTTGTCTGTTCTTATTAAACCATAAACTAAAAAGAATGTTATAACCCTGTGAACTAGCATACATTTGAATTTAGCTTGCAAGATTAAAGAAAATAGAAATTCTTCACTTAAAAGTTAACAATAACAATCTTCATGTTAATTAATTGAGAACACAGTCAATAAATTGTTATAATAAGATTATATCTGAAATAATCATATATACATTAATGCATTATGACCTTGAACCTCCTTCAAGGAAACAAACTTAAAGCTAACGAACCATCTTCTTGTCATGTAAGTCATCACACATTCTGACAATAATAAGGTGGGCGTGTCCCAGTCCACCCCACACAGATTTAGACATGCCTCAAATGTGTTCAGCTGGGTTAGATCCACCCCTAATAGTTTATATTCATCTGTGTTGATTTCTGAAAAATAAGATGCAAAAATTAATGCATTTATATATGTGGGAGAAATCAGAATAATTCAAAATCCATAGTTTTAATTTACAATCAACTGGTTTTGAAAACATGTAAATTAAGGAAAGAACTTTCACTTTCACAGGTGTACAGTTCTTTGTTTTATCCTTTTCATGTTAGAATAAAATATCAATGAAAATGTGTCGAAGTACAATCCTCATCTCAATTTTTAGCAGAAAACAAAACATGTGGCTATTTAGAGGAAATACAGAGTCAGTATACATTTCCAAACAGTGAAACAACTCAAAGAACCTATCATCAATCTGGGTAAATTTCTTACTAAAAATTGAGATGTGCATTCATGAAGAAATACATGTGTGTCTGGTTTGAATGTTTTTGCTTAAAAGTACAGAAATATGATAGCAGTCAATGAAATAAACAATGTCGTGATTTATCTGATCAATCTGAGGATACAAGCCTTTTACTGACCAATCAGAGGATACCAGATTACACTGACCAATCAGAGGATACATGACTTCACTGACCAATCAGAGGATATATGACTTAACTGACCAATCAGAGGATATATGACTTAACTGACCAATCAGAGGATTTTCCTTGGCTCCCTGGGTCATCAGTCCTGGAATCAAATTCTTCAAGTCCTTGTTGCTTTGAATCACAGAATTTTTACGTTGTACCACATCAGGAAAATCCACCTGTAAGCATATACACATTATAAGAACATTTGATAATGTGGAAAGTCTATGCAAAAATGATCACTGTTCACTTATAAAATACGCAAAATTAAAGAAGGTCTACAGGAAGAATCATGAGAACAGTCACACCACCATTCAAGTTAGCGTCCTCAAGTATTACTATCAATATCATTAATAAAAAGTATATGAATCAAAGAGGAAAATCCACTTGTAGATCTAGCATGGGGTACATCAATCATATTGATAGCAAGGACTCATATGCATTTCATATTGTCATGCATGTATCGTAACACAAGTCAATTTTCATTGTCCTATTTTGAAAAATCTGCATATGACCTAACAAACTGTAATGTTCCAAAATGGCAGAAAACAAGATCATAGATAAAAAGAGAATTCAATTTTAAGACTATGAATCCACCCCATAATAAACTTTGGTTAAGGGTATCAAGAGGTTCATTTTATATTTTCTTTTACTCTAAAGATATCTGTTAATTCAATAGTAGAAAGCTGTATCTTGAAACATGTTGTATGATGGTATCATGATATGTATCATATCATATGGTAGCTTATGATACTCAGACCTAATTCTAAACACTGTACATGTATTTAATAAAGTCAAAACCATGCAAGTCAAACATTTTACAGTATATTACACACTACTTTTATTCAACTGACGACAATTTACCTCATAAAATGAAGTGTTTTCCAACACTCCCTCTGATTTAAGACGAAAATATGTCGAGTCAAATCCAGCACCAAGGGAAATAATCTGTAAAATGAATGAAAAAACCAGATCATCAAAAATTGAAATGTTAAACTTATTTAAACTAATCTTTATATGTTTTTGCTAACTGATGCATCACTGACAAAATTCTAATCAATGACAGCTAAAATCCTTCAACATACTCTTCTTTTGGATACAAATAGTTTAATTAGGGCTGCATGGGTAGTCCAAGCCATATTTAGACCATTTGAACCTCCTGGAAAGGAGAGCTCTGTATAAAAAGTAGGATATAGCTGAATCCACACTTTTCAAAAGTTATGTCCCTTGGCCGCCATCTTAAGGGAAAAACCCATAGAATCCTCACTGTAGCCTTTGTAATTTTCAGGTTTGTAACTTTGTTATTGACTGGTAAAAAGCTTTGCATTTTGTGTACTGATTGCCCCATTGGGGCAAGATGGGGCAACCCACGCATTTAAAGATAAAAAATTAAACACAGTGGTTTCAACAGTGCACGTCCAAATATTTGGTAGCATAAATAGGAGAAATGTTGATTCTTTTCCTTTTGACCTTTTGATTGACCCGCAAAGAGACACAACTTTTGCAAAGTGTGGATTGGACTATTGAAATAAATATTATATTAATATAGCTGGAACTTTTTTTCCTTTACTATATAATAGTTACTGGCTAGAAAAATCATATTTAAGATTTTAATGAGGATCTATTGTAATTTGTAGACCCCCTCCTTAAAAATAATACTTCATGCATGAAATTAAATGATTGCTTACACTGAATGATCTAACAGATCTACCAACCTGATTTCTCTGAGGGAAGGTTTCTAGAAACTTTCTTAGGAAGAAATCCACAGCCTTTGCCCGGATATAATAACCCCTGCAACAAAATCAGCATGTGAGTCTAAATAAAACTTATTTTTGCTTTAATATATACAGTATTAGTTACTCATATTGGATAAACAGTGAAACTTGTCTGATCCAGGTGTTCTGTATTCTGAAATCTTGTCTATTATGATAAAAGCGCTTTATCTCTTTGGCTTATAAATATTTCAGTTGTTTAAAATGCTGTCAACATGGTCAAATCTGGCCAGTTTCTATGGAACCCAGTGATGTTCGTATTTATAGACAAGTTATACCGTAAGTTTGTCAAGAAAAATAATTAACTGAGCTACTAAATCATTCCTAATCATTCACAAAATGTTTCTATTGATACAACAATATTTCATATAAAATTCCTGATTACCTTCATGTAATTGTCATTTATTACTTACTGATCAAGATATTAATAATGAGCCAACTACCTGCCCATCTGATATAAAAATATTTATTTTTTTTTTTACTTTTTTACCCTGAAAAATATGACTCAATTTTTTGACAAATTCGACTTAAATAAGAAAGAAACTGAGTAATATTTAATGTAATACATAATTTACCTATGGATAAGTGGCGACCGTCTTGTTGTCTTTGAGACAAAGCAATGGAGATAGGGGTCCGTGAAGTAACCAGCGCTGGCCATGGAACACTTGCTGACAATAGAACTATCATTGGTTCCTTGTACCTACATTTGTATATTAAATTAAACAAAATTACTTAAAATTATTTATTTTTGTACTTCAACATGTTCAAATATTTATATTTTAAAATATTTGAATTGAACAGGTTGGAACCAATTGCCCGAACAGGATATTATAATTGCTAATTTGGGATATAATATCCCAAATTGGATATAAATTCACAGTCAAAAAATAAAAGATATTTCATTTAACAATACATATGAATCTGCACCAAAATACTTAAAAAGCAATAACTTTTGGTGAAAAAGTTTTTTCTGTATCCCCACTGCTTAGATGGATGACCCCCCAAAAGATCCTTAATTTCTTGGGGAACTGTAGGGCTACAGAAAAACTTGAATGTCAGGCCATTAAACCGGGCATAAGCCGTATATGTATCCCCTTTGGGCAATTAGTTCCAACCTGTTGAACATACCGCAGACATAGATTAAAGAAATGTCCTTTTTTGGACTTAATAGATACGTATACTTATTCAAAAAGGGTAGGGGTACCTCTTCCTCTGGGCACATGGGAATTGATTTATGGCAATATAAGATGGCAAAACTTTAGCCAAATGTGGGATTCTTAAAAAAAAAAACCATTACCGTGTGCGAAAGAGATAATGTGGAGCAGAATATGTTAACATTCTTTAATTGTATATTTTGGGTATTAAAGCAGTATAAAATAGATCGGTTCCTCTTTGTATACTATAAGCCTAATATGTTAATGCTTAAAATAATTTTCGCAATGCTGGATTTGATCGTAGTCATCCTGTTTGAGTCAATAATCATAACCTAGTCATCAGTCTTTGGTTTAATTTTAACTAAACTCTGTCGTCTATTTACCGCTGTTTCTCTCCGACTTTTACAAGATTTTGTCTTTTTCTCGGCATTTTTGTTCACAGGTACTGGGACATTCGTCTGCGCCATGGGCGCAGCCATCTTTGAACGTGTTTGGTCTTAGTAGCTTGACAATTCGACCCACTTACAGTTCGACCCAGAGGAATTACAGGCTCGTAGTCAGCATTGTATTAGAACCGTTTCCAACTCTAAAGACATACATATGTATTTATAAAAGGAGAGCGGGTATGTGATACACATACATATAGTTTAAATGCCAATTTATTGCTTTTTAGGTTTACTTAATTTATAGCTTTACATGCGATACATGGCCGTAGGAACCGGAGGGGGGGGGCACGGGGGGGGGGGGGGGGGGGCAGTGCCCCCCAATAATTTTGCCGATATATAGAGTACTGTAGAAAACTTAGCTACTATATGCTTGTGCCCCCTCAATAATAACGTCTGATGACCTTTTTTTTTTTTTTTTTTTTTTGCTTGTCAATGAATTTTGGTAGTTGATCCTCAACTGAAAATGTATGGATGTGCCCCCTCAAAGTGAATTTGCTTCCTACGGGTCTGCGATAATCATTAGCGATGAAGTGCAGAACGTTGCGGAGCGAAGTTTAATTAAAACGCAAGAGAACTAAAACTTTATTTGCAGGCGATCATCAAAGTTAATGAGAAAATGAAAAATAAAAACTTTTCAAAAAATTTCTTGCCAAAGATTGTAGATCGTTTACATCTGAATTTAAATTGTTCTATATTAAATTGTTCTAGAAAATTAGAGAAAGAAATAACAGAAAGCCTAGATCTTATTTACTAGATTGCTAGGGTTCGAGCCGGGAAAAGTATAGTGACAAGATTTTATTACATACCGTTTTATCTAGAAGCTCACTGATTCATTTTGCACTTTTTTCTGAGAATAGCTTTTTTGATACTTTTAATTGATGTATAGTGTTTTCATTTGGAAGCTGCTCCCCCCAACTTTTTTTTTCTTTCGGGGGGCTATACGGTCGAACACTGGGCAAATTCTGGGACACTGCAGCATTAAAAAAAATGTACTGTTGTGTTAGAGACTCTTCCGAAATAGGACATATATTTAGGTACTGTGACGAAACTTCACCCAAGGCGGTGATGCAGGAGCTTCTCTATACTTTTTTCTCTTTTTTCAAAGAAACACTCTCTGTTCTAAAACTTTTTTTGAACTGATTCTAGGATTAATCATACTGTTTAATTGGTTTATCATCATTTGCAATACCTTCTTATTGTTACGAATCTTAGATTCTATTTTATGTGCACAACAATTCAAGTATCTAATGAGACGTAACGAACCTTATTTGCCGTTGAATAAGGAATTTGTTTTGTTTCAAATATTATGGGGTTTTTTTTTTATCTGAGGGGATGCGACCAACGACCCCCCCCCCCCTTCCGACGGCCTTGTGGTCAAGAAGTTCAAGTTCAAAGTAAGAATAATTTTTACAAATGTTGAGCACTATATATATGAGTAGAGTACCAGTTGGGCATTTGACTCAATCTTGTCAAAGATAGTAAATTATGCCTACTCATTTCATGCATGGTCAACATAAAGCTCAAGGTCAATTCAATCTTACTGTGATTCTTCAATACTGTCTTGAATACAGAATACATAATATATAGATTTTTGATCTTTCGGTTACTTAAATTGTTATAAACGTTCATGTGACCGCTGGAAGAAGCCTATTCATTTCAGGGTCAAAAATCCAGTCAAGGTCAAAAAAGGTGTAATTAATTTCATTTCAAGGTCAAAGGGTTAAGGTCAAAATAATAGTGTTTTGAATACAGAATTTAGATATTTGATCTTAATTTCGTTTACTTATTACAGAGATGTATGGGGCCTATCCATTTCAGGGTTCAAACAGTTCATGGTCAAAGTCGAAAAAGGTGTAATTAATTTCATTTCATGGTCAAAAGGTCAAGATTAAAATTGTTGTGAGTCCTCAGATAATTTGCATAAATGCCGAAGGCCTTATGCATAAAATTTTCCCAAGCTTGATCATCATCATGAAACCAAAAAATCATACAGTTATTCCTTATTATGTCCCGGTATCGAAGATTCGGGGGTATATAGTTTTTGCCCTGTCCGTCCGTCTGTCTGTCTGTTTGTCCGCAAAAACTTTAACATTGCCCATAACTTTCGATTGGTTGGAGCTATGGCTCCCATATTTCACATGTGTATTCCTTGTGACAAGATCTTTCTTTGGGTACCACCATATTTGGCCTTTTGACCTTGACCTTGGAGTTTGACCCAGCTTTGCAAAATTTTCCCCAACTTTAACCTTGGCCATACCTTTTGAACGATTGGTGCTAGGGATATCATACTTCACATGTGTATTTCTTGTGGCAAGACCTTTCTTTGGATACCACCATATTTGACCATTTGACCTGGATCTTGAAGTTTGACCTACTTTTGAAAAACTTTAACATTGGCCATAACTTTTGAACGGTTAGTGCTAAGGCTTTCATACTTAGCATATGTAATCCTTGTGACAAGATTTCCTTTGGATACCAACAACTTTTGCCCTTTGACCTCGACCTTGGAGTTTGACCTACTTTTGTAAAACGATAACATTGGCCATAACTTTTGAACGGTTAGTGCTAAGGCTTTCATACTTAGCATATGTAATCCTTGTGACAAGACCATCCTTTGGATTCCAACAACTTGGACCCTTTGACCTTTACCTTGGGGTTGACTTACTTTTAAAAAACTTTAACCTTGGCCATAACTTTTGAACCGTTGGTGCTAGGACTTTCATACTTCACATATATAATTCTTGTGACAAGACCTTCCTTTTGATACCAACAACTTTGACCCTTTGACTTTGACCTTGGACTTTGACCTACTTTTCGAAAACTTTAACCTTGGACACAACTTTTGAAAAGTTGTTGCTAAGGCTTTCATATTTAACATGCTTTTCCTTGTGACAAGACCTTCCTTTGGATAACAACAATTGTAATCCATTGACCTTGATCTTGGAGTTTGACCTACTTTTGAAACACTTTAACCTTGGTCATAACTTTTGAACGATTGGTGCTTCAGCTTTCATATTTCACCTGTATATTTCTTGTGAGATAGCCTTTCCTCAGGCACCATTAATTTTGATCATTTGACCTTGACCTTGATGTTTGAATTACTTTTAAAAAAACTTTAACCTTGGCCATAACTTTTGAAAAGGTGCTGCTAGGGCTTTCATATTTCACAGGTATATTTCTCGAGACAAGACCTTACTTTGGGTAACAACATATTTGATTTGCATTTGAGAAAGTTTAACCTTTGCTATAAGTTGCCATACGGGGGTATCAGTGCAAACACATCTTGTATTTACATGCTCTTGATTCTGTAAATTCACGTGCTACAAGCCCCGCCTACTTCTGTCTCTCTCTGTCCCGCCCCGTGAGTATTTTTTTTTCCACCAGCCATTCGATTGATTGATTGTTGTTTAATGTCCCTCTCGAGAATTTTTCACTCATATGGAGACGCCGCCACTTGCCGCGAAATTGCTGTAAATTTTGACCTAAACTCGGCACTCTGGATCATTTTATCAATGAGGGATATTATTCGTGTCAGCACCTACTGCGACACGGGACCTCGGTTTATACGGTCTCATCCGAAGCACCGGTCTTCACGTCCCGCAGTGGGGATTCGAACCCCCGACGAAAGGATCAACTCCTTACACCGCAACTCTAGAGCAAAGTACCAGTCCATATAAAAATCAGAAAAAATGTGTATAAAAGTGATACATGAAGGTTCTTAGATTTTGATGATTTTCAACACATATATTCTCCTGCTCATATATAAAGGTCAAAGTAATTGCAGAGAATGCTTAATTTTGGCAGATATTCATGTACAGTGGTAAGAAATGTTTCAAATTTAGTCCTTAAAATTGCAGTTTTGCAAAATTAAAAATGTATTATGGACCTCATAAAAGTATTTTTGTATATAAATTTCCTATGGAAACGATTTTGAGAACATAACAACCATTTGATTTCATTGAGTGTTTGAAAGATTCATTCTCTGCAATTACTTTGACCTTTATATATGAGCAGCAGAATATAATTATGTGTATATGTGAAATACATGCAAAAACTGAAATTTTTAGATGCAAATTTTAATTTGACCTTGAATATTGCCAAAAATGAAGAAAAATGCTGAATCAGCAAAAAAATGCAAAACATGTATATCTTCCAATGTCTGTTACAGAACTAACTTTAAATCTGATATCTTTGTGTTGGGTTGTTAAAACACTTGAAATGTGTATCTTATTTATGCTAGTGAAGAGGAATAATTTTATTCATATTTACATTTCTTTTCAAGTCTTAAAAGATAAGTGACTTTTTGTCCTACCACATGGAAAAAATAGCCGGTAGCTAGGGAAATTTCTTTGGCCAGGTTTCCATAGTAACCATGAACTAAAACATTTTTTATTTTACATACATGGAACATAGTGCAAGAGAAATCTATGTGTGGAAAATCATCAAATTCTGAGAACCTTCATGTAGCACCTTTTGTCTGATTTTTATATGGACTGGTACTTAATGGACTTTGAGCTTGAATACTATACAATTATGGACTCTATCGGTGGTGAATATAGCTCGTTATTCACCAGAAAAATATCAATATTGATCGAGACGAAGCCGATGTCAATATTGATATTTTTCTGGTGAATAACAAACCATATTCATCACCGAAAGAGTCCATAATTGTTTTATTATATAATCAGGATTTGAATAAATGAGACATTAAAGGCTGCATGACGATAACATTAACGAACTTCTGTCGTAGAAAACTGAAAAATGTCCAGATTACAACTTATAACTTCCGTGTTTTCCTTTGTCTGTGTGTAAGACATCGAAATGTTTGGAAAGACTTGCCTATCATTTTTCCTGCTCAGAAAAACAACTGGCTTCGGTCGTTGCAACCATTATTTTCGATGTTGTTTGATATTGATTGTGACGTCACAATATTATATAATAATACACGCGCACTGACCCTCCGGTGAATACGGCTCAGTTCAAATCCAATGAATATGTAGTATTATGAACTGTTTTCGTTCGTATAAATTAAATAGGG